TACTACTAAGCCATTTACAGATGTGAATCAAGGCCGGACCAATACAGCTACTACCTCCAGAGAATACAATTATCTAGCTAATTGAGGACGAGGAAATAACTAATCAAAATAATTGGACCCGAAAGGATTGTATTAACTCCCTGGGCACACTGATGAAAAATAAATTTTTAAGATCCTCCTCCTCAGGCTGTTGTTATATAAATAAAAGAAGAACCACTGTAGAAACATTTTGACAATACAGTGCCCACAGTTATGGTCAACTGCATCTCTCTGGCAGAAAAACGACAACCCAATCAATTTAACCAAATATCATGAGCCAAGTACTCCTGCGATAACACTATCACTACAAATAATTTCTACAGCCTTAGCCTGCACTAAAATAGGCTATTGTAGATATCTGGAACCATCCAAACTTTTAAGGTATTTTCTGGCCTACATAAAAAGGGATTTCTGATTTATATTATTAATACAAAGGCACACTAACAATCTATGTGTATGTGACTGTATATAAAAAGAAATAACTGACCCACTGTACATCATTAGCTCTAAATGCAGGATTCCTCATTTTGTCTAGGTAGGGGATGTGTTCAAGGAAAGACAAGGGGATAGAGAATGTGATTGCAGAGAAAGAGTAAGAGCTCCCTGCCTTCTAATGAATGTGACACTTTAAAACGGATGTTTCTCTATAGTGTAGAGGCAGGAAAAAATGTGCTACATCCTCACTATAGTGGTAGGTTGGGAAAAATCAAATCCCTACCTTGAGAGAATGATCATATCAAAATATTAAAATAGAGAGCTCTTGTGTACTCAAAATGGCTCTCGCAATCCCATGGAGGCTGATAGCTCAATTCTCTGCTGAAAAAGTATCATTCAACATCTCCTGGTGGCTGGGATATTTAAGTTATGCTAGAATAAACTCCCTTGCAATCGTTCTCAAATGCTTAATCTTCCCACCAAGACTATCAGTTCCTCCAGAGCAAAAAAGTTTGGCTTCATTCTGCAGTCATCCAGGGCTGAATCCCCCACCCTGCCCTAATGTCTGGTGGGTGCTCTGTACACAGGGATGGACAACATGTAAGCTTACCGCTGCAAAATCTACTACAGGAGCAAATCTATCCCGAGTTAATGACGGTCTGACCATCTCAATCCTTATGGCCATTTGACTATGTTACTGAATGTCAGTTTCTCCACATATCAGAGAATAGAACCAAATTGACTTGAGTACGTGACTGCTTATCAATCTGTCATATTGGCTGGGTGCAGTGGCTCACGCCTGTAATCCTAGCACTCTGGGAGGCCGAAGCAGGTGGATTGCCTGAGCTCATAGGTTAGAGACCATCCTGAGCCAGAGTGAGACCCCGTCTCTAAAAATAGCTGGGCTCAGCTCAGTGCCCTTAACACAATGGTTAAGGCACCAGCCACCAAGGCTGGCGGGTTAGAACCTAGCCTGGGCCAGGTAAGCAACAACGACAACTGCAACAACAACAACAAAAATAGCTGGGCATTGTGGCAGGTGCCTGTAGTCCCAGCTACTTGGAAGGCTGAGGCAAGAGAATTGCTTAAGCCCAAGAATTGGAGGTTGCTGTGAGCTGTGACGCCACAGCACTGTACCGAGGGTGACATAGTGAGACTCTATCTCAAAATAATTTAAAAAATAAAAACAGTTGGGTGTTGTGGCAGGCACCTGTAGTCCCAGCTACTCCAGAGGCTGAGGCAAGAGAATCACTTGAGCCCAAGAGTATGAGGTTACTGTGAGCTGTGACGCTATAGCATTCTACCAAGGGTGACAAAGTGAGACTCTGCCTCAAAAAAAAAAAAAAAAAATCTGTCATATTAATCAAGTTCACTAGACAGAAAACAAGGAAGATGACTGTCAGATAACCCAGGGAAAAGTGAAAACAATTATCTGGTTTACCTGAATGACTTAAGACATAAAACAGGGCTTAGGATAGAGATTTCCAATTTGGGAACACTTTAATAATAACATGTTAATGCATAAAAATAAATTTGCCATGTTTATATAGTTTTTTTGTTTGTTTGTTTGTTTTTAGAGACAGTCTCACTTTATTGCCCTCGGTTGAGTGCCATGGCATCAACAGCTCACAGCAACCTCCAACTCCTGAGCTTAGATGATTCTCTTGCCTCAGCTTCCCAAGTAGCTGGGACTACAGGCATCTGCTACAACATTCAGCTATTTTTGGTTGCAGTTTGGCCAGGGTCGGGTTTGAACCCACCACTCTAGGCATATGGGGCCCTACCCACTGAGCCACAGGTGCCACCCTATAGTTTTCTATATTCAGAGAAAACCACTTTGCCTTCAATGCAGTAATAATACTCTACTATTATCTAGTAATAATGACAGTTTACAGAGGTTTCTCATATATTACCTAATTTTGAGTTCTGTATAAGACTTAACACATATAAGTTAACCATCCCCATTACATAAATGAATAAAACAAAGCTTTAATAAGTAACAGGAACATCCATAGCACCACAATCAGCACAGTGCCAAAGACAAGCTCAAGCTCAATCTCTGGACTCCAAGTTCAGCACTCTTTCCACAAACTCTCTTCATACACCTTTTGTCTGGGGGGGAGGGGAATATTGCTACTGAATTGTATGATTCCTGGCACACTGCAGAAGTTGTACACTGGAGTAGCTGGAGGACAGGCAAGTATCTATTTAATGAATTTCATACTGCTTGGATTCAGTCCCCCAAGTTTGCAGCTTGGACAATGATATATTCATGTTGATGGCAAAGTTCAAGGTTGAAAGAGATCTAAGTACCTTTGCATTGTGCTTTATTTTTTTTAACCTTCCATCTCTCATCCTGATGCATTTCCTTTCTGAAACTAAATTCCTGCCACCAGCTGACAGAAAATTTCAAAATAACAATGATCGAATCCCCAATCCAGCCAGCTGGACACACAAGCAGGGAAGTATTTGGGAATGATTTTTCGAAGACAAGGGCAGACCCATCAAAGAGGTGATGCAATAGCTCCCTACTCATGTTTTTCTCCTGCATGCTTTGAGTATGCACTCACTAGCTTGCTTCTGCTCAGAACAAAAAGTAATATTTAGCAACGAGCAAGCTGGAGAGGAGAACAACATGCTCCTACGTGCACGGTCCTTCGTAAACAAAAGTGAGGCTGCTCTGGAGAAGACCTGCACTCAGAGCGGTTTTTTTCAATAAAATTAGATCTCCCTTTGCACAGTAAGGAACATGTTCCTGAAAAAAAAAAAAAGTTCATCAAATATTTGTAAAAAGAATCATATTTTCCCCAGAAACATGATTCATACACTAACATTTCAGGGCTACCTCATCATTATTCTGATTTTCAGTTAGCAGTGATACCCTCCCATTCCCAAACCTGGCGAGCTGCTCATTAATAAATAAAAAAGTACCTCCTCTTGAAAGGAGATGTTAGAAACGCTTCCTACAATTTTTTTAAAATGTGGATAATTTCTCAACCTTTTTAAAAGTAGCCTGCACACGTAGGAGGTTGCGTAGGGCCACAGTGCATAGGGCAAATTGAGAGACACAATTCCAGGCACAGGGTGTGGCCTTGACATTGTTATGGTTTCCCTGCACAGAGCTTTCTGGCCACCAGCAAGTTTGGATTCTATCTTTGCTCTTGTTAGCATTAAGCACTAACTAAGCTAACTAACCTGTCTCACTGCGACAAGAATCCAAAAGATTTGTTCCCCAGTGGTGCTACCCATAGCAAAAGGACAGAATTTAATTCAAGATGGTAAAGGTTACCTGTAAGAAATACACTTTTCAATGAATCACTAGTGACCTGGGTTCACTCACATCTTCTGAACACATAATCTGAATTCCACATAATTTAGCTCTTTCTCTCGAAATGGAATATCCCTTATGTGCAGTAATTTTGACTGCCATGGAGGAAAATCAGACTTGATCCCGTTTGATTCCATTATGTGAACATCAAAATAAAATTAAATATAAATAAATAAGTCGTGAGTCTTCAATGACATCTTCTATCTAGATCTGAGTTAAGGGATGTGACAGGCCCAAGGTTACAAAGTCATTGATGGGGCGTCTGTGCCCGCCTGGGAAATACTGCAGCCTCTGACTGCTCTTTGCATTTGCCGGTTGGGATAGGATGTGACATCTGACTGATCTCAATTACAGTAGATAGGAGCTCTTTATCCAAAAGGACACCCAAATAGACAAGTAGATATTACTGAAAACAGATCAAGACTCTCTTAAGTCCGGAAACGTAGGCTGGGTTTTAATAAATGGAACGGCTGAGTTTTAGAATGTCACTGGGCACAAAGCCTGGCCTGCCAGGGGAATCCAGAAGCCTTCCCTTGCCAGTCAACAAAAGGAAATGGTATAAAAAGAAGTTTCGATATGTTTTTAAAATGAAAAATACGTTAACAGTAACGTTCATAGTAAAGCTGTCACACACATCTAAAGCATCCTTATTACTGCAGCTTCTCAGAGAAATCCTAACGGCAGCACAGCCGGTCTTAAACATTAAGACAGACTCGGATGCCTTCCTAGAGCCCTGTTCGCAGTTCTCAATCCCACTAGCGCCCTTCCTCCTCCCCGCCCCACCACCACCACTAGAAAAGTCCAGACTTATTCCACTGCACTTTTCCAGGAGTCTCGGGTCGAGGAGCTGGGGGCGAGGCCTGGAGGAGCAGTGTGGGAACCAGCCGACGGGAGGGCCACGTCTGGGGACCCTCTCCCAGGAGAGCGCGGAGGCTGCGGGGAGCCCCGCGCCAGTCCTCCCAGCGCTCCCTCCCAGGGACACCCCGCAGGCTCGCGCGGTCTGAGCTTGACGCCCCCGCGCGCGGGGGGCTTACCATACGCTTTCGGTCTTTCTAGAAACGGGCTGTCTGCTTCCGTCCCGAAAAGGGGGACGTACAGAGGGGGCTGCGCGTGCCCCTCCCCCAGGGCCCGCACCCGTCACCCCCGCCGCCTCTCCGCAGGGCGCCCTCGCCCCAACCCGGCCGCCCACCGCGCTCACCTCGGCCCGCGCCCGCGCCCGCGGCGGTGGAGTTCCCGCAGCCCATCGCGCCGCCGGCCGGGGAAGCCGCGCTCCGGGACTCCGGCTGCAGGTCCAGGGGGCGGAGACCGAGCTGAGGGCGGCGCGCCCCGGACGGGAGGCCAGCGAGAGCCGCAGGAGCCAGGGCGCCGCGGGCTGCGAGCTACGGGGCGGAAACCAGCGGCACTCCTCGCCCGCACCCCACTCTGGGACCCCGCCGGACCCACCCGTCACCCGGGCAACCACGGCGCCGACCAATCCTCAGCCTCCGGCGCGCTCCTCGGCCGGGCATTGGCCGTCACTAAGAGGGGGCGGGAGTTTAAGGTGGGTTTGGGGGGCGAGGGCGCGGCCGGGGGGCGTGGCCGCGCGGGCCGGAAGGCGGGGCGCAGGGCTGGACGCCCCTGCCCACCCTTCCACCCTCCCCATCCTCTTGGCCTTTTCTCTTCTCTTTCCCCCCTTCCCCTCCCTGCCCCAGGATGTGGGCAGGAGAGGAAGTGGCGGGAAGTACCTGTTTTGCGTACAGTGGACGCCCAATAAACGTTATTGACTGAATGATGTTCAGGTCTGCAGCCAAAACCGAAATCCTCTCCCGCCTTAACTGAAAGCTAACGAGGCTCGCCCACATTGCTGAAAAACATGAAGTTCTTTCCTAAGTTGGGCATTTTAACCTACTCCACTTTAAAATTAAGGTCTGCTGCGATTTCTGTAACCTGGGTTTGGGACCTCCGCTCTGATATAATGGCAGGGTGCCTCTCAAACCGATAGCTGAGTGTTATTGGAGTCACACAGGGTTACAATCTTTGCTTTGTCCTTTGGTAACTGCGGGTCCTCAGAGAAGCTGCTCAACCCAGTAGCTATCTATTGCTTCACCTGTAAAATGTCAGTAACTCAGGTACCTATAAAGTACCTAACAGTGTTCCTTATTCTGAATTAGTGCCAGCTAATAATATTATCATTATTATCCTTAACTCCATCACAAGTGAATACAAATTCCTTGAAGGTAAAAGACCATCTGATTTTCATAGTGTCTTCCTGTCTCATTTTTCAGACTCAATCAATGTTCTTGTGAGGTGAATTCAAGCCAGGAATTAAAGCTGTATTTTAAATCCACTTAATATTTATAGGAAGCACAGCCTGTGCCAAGTCCTTTGTTAAGTTCCGGAGATACAAACAAGTGGGAGACAGTCTTAACCATGAAGAATATAAATAAATTAATTGCAATATAGCAGGGACGGGAATAGAGGAACACAGGTGCTCTCTGAGCCCAGAGGATGCTGGGATACTGGTTAAAAGACTTTCCGAAGGCTGGGAGCAGTGGCTCACGCCTGGAATCCTTGTACTCTTGGAAGCCGAGACTGGAGGATTGCTTGAGGTCAGGATTTCCAGACCAGCCTGAGCAAGAGCCAGACCTCCATCTCTAAGAAAAATAGAATAAGTAGCCAGGCATCATGACAGGTGCCTATAGTTCCAGCTACTCAGGAGGCTGAGGCAGGAGGATGCTCAAACTCAGGAATTTAAGGTTGTGAGCTATGATGCGACAGCACTCTACAGAGTAAAACTCTTTCTAAAAAAAAGACTTTCCTAAAGCCATACAGTTGTTTTTAGAGAAAAATTTGAACCAGAATTAAAGTCCTGGCAGACTTCTGCGTTTTTTTTTTTTTTCCTTCCTCAGGCCCAGGCAAGATTTGAACTTATCATTCCTGGTGTGCAGGGCAGATGCTCTAACCACTGAGCTAGCACCCAGCTCCTGGCAGAGTTTTGAATCTGACCTTTGAGGCAGTGATGAGTCCAGTCATTCAGAATGCAAAAGATACACCATTCATCGTTTGGAAATTAGGCATACCAGCCATGTGCTGAGATGGTCATTATTGGATAAATAAGGGCATTTCTGACATTCAGAAACACTGCTTCCTACCTTAGCCTGCATTATCCTGGGTCCGTGGTCATCCCAATACAAATCCAGAATGGGGGGAGGAGAATATTAAACAGCCAAAAGAAATCTTCTTGCTTATTTCTATGCTGACACTAGATTTTAGCCCTAGGACAGTTGTAAGAGACAGAAGAATGGACCCTGATATCCAGATGGCCCAACACAGCTAGGCCTTTGTGTTCTCCTGTTAAACGCAGTTACACAGAACATCAGTAACACACAGGGTCACCCTATAACCGAGCAAGTGAGACAAAAAACAGGGGTGCTGTTGTCTAAGTACTGATAAAAACAAGGTCACTGTGCAAACCCCCAAAGCACCAAGCCTGTCTCTATCCTGCCTAATATGAATGACAGCTGCTGCTCTGCTGGTTACGGTTCTACCTTTGCTCTAGCCTTCCTGACTTCAAGATGAGATTTATTAAGAACATCTGATCATAGAATGGTTCCTGCTACCTCATATATCTAATCTAGGAAAAAAGTACTGCTTCCTTAAATCTCAATCAAAATCACCTAATATGAACTTAAATCCTTTAAGTTCTTTTTTAACACCTGCTTACTGAGATAGCTCATGGTTCCCTGTGGTGTGCATTCTCCGAACCACACTGAACAATGATAAAGCCAATGTGTTCAAGTACACAAGCATTCCTGGTGGTCTTGGCTAGAGGTCATTGACCCTTCAAAACATTAGGTATTCCACTTTATAAAGTTATGGAGTATGAGGCCAGGCACGGTGGCTCACGCCTGTGATCCTAGCACTCTGGGAGGCCAAGGCAAGTAGATCACTTGAGCTCATGAGTTCAAGACTAGCCTGAGCAAGAGACCCCTGTCGCTACTAAAAAGATGAAAAACTGAAGCAAGAGGAACATCTGAGACCAAGAGTTTGAGGTTGCTGTGAGCTATGACGCCATAGCACTCTACTGAGAGTGACAGAGTGAGACTGTCTCAAATAAATAAATAAATAAATAAAAAGGTTATAGAGTATATTATTGGTCAACTATTTCAAGAAACACAATTGAGCAATCCCTCAAGAGTGCCAGCCAATCTTCCAAATGCTCAAAATATAGCAGTGAACAAAACAGGAAAAAAATGGAGAAGTAGAGAAATCAAAAGCAAATAAAAGAAGGTAATTTCAGATACTACAAATGCAATGGGAAAAAAAATAAGCAGAACACTGGAATAGGAGACTAGGGGTCAAGGGAGTGGTGCTATTGTAGGTAGGATGGTTGTGAAAGGCCTCTCAGGGGAAATGATATTTTAGCAGAGGTCTGGTCAGCGAGAAGAAATCAGACATGGGAAGATCCAGGGAAAGAGCATTCCTGGCAAAGTAAACAGCAAGTCCAAGAACCTTGAAGCAAGAACATGCTACATATGTTTCATAAACAGGAAAAAAAAAATACAAAGATCAGGAGGGCTAGGCTAGAGCAGAGATGGGGGGGAGTGGTCAGAGACAGAAGTCACATCACACTCCCTGGGAAAGAGTTAGAACTTTATTCAAAGGGCAATCAAGTCCTTTGATAAGAGAGTGTATGAAAATTACAATAGCAGTCTTTCAGGCATATAGTAAGTACCCAGTAAGTATCCCTCCAAATGTGGAGTAAAAACACAAGTCTAGTGTCCCCTTTCTCCTTTTTAGGAGATTTTATTTTGTTTTTTTTTTTTTTTTTTTTTTTTTTTTTTTTTGAGACAGAGCCTCAAGCTGTCCCCCTGGGCAGAGTGCCGTGGCATTACAGCTCACAGCAACCTCCAGCTCCTGGGCTCAAGCGAGTCTCCTGCCTCCGCCTCCCAAGTAGCTGGGACCACAGGCGCCCGCCACAGCGCCCGGCTATTTTTTGGTTGCAGCCGTCATTGTTGTTTGGCGGGTCCGGGCTGGGGATTCGAACCCGCCACCTTAGGTGTATGTGGCTGGCGCCTTAGCCTGTTGAGCTATAGGCGTCGAGCCTATTTTGTTTTATTTTATTTTACAGACAAAAATGAATTGCATTTGGATGTTTTTAACAAGTGAGTCAAAAGAAAATCATCGATCCAGGCCTCATTTTCTCACTGGTCAATTTTAGCATCTTTCTCTGTGCCGGTTAGATCACACCACTTAGCTGTTGTTTTCATTCTTCAAACCAGGACTGATCTGGTGTGAAGGAGAGAGAAGAGGAGTGCGACTGAAATTGATCTGACAAGTGGGGGTAAAAAGCAAGAGGCAGGATAACATGGAGCTGAGTCTAAGTTTTCATGAATTTTTTTTTCCCTTAAATAGCTCCCACAGAAAGTCTGGCAAAAATAAAGTTTATTTTTATTTTTCTCTTTTCCCCCATTGTCATGCTACAGGAGTGCTGCCTCAGCTCTGGAGACCACACCCACACACAACACCTGCCAACTAAAAGGGGGTTTCCCCCATTTGTGTGCCTTTTAAAGCCAGAAGGCACCCGAATACTTCCTCTCCCATTTCACTGGCCTCTTGCTGATCCGACCATTGGGAAGGTAAATAGGATGGCTATAAATGGCTGAGTCATGAGGTGGGTGCAGGATAAGCACCTGAAAAAAATTGGGTCTCTGCTGGCAAAAAGAAAAAAAAAAAAAGAGGTTAATGACAGCTGTTTAAACACATATTGTGTGAAAGTTGCCAGAATCCAAGCGGAGTCACTTGTGTTAAAACCCTCCCAGGAAGAACCGGGAAGGCCATCAGGGTAGGTTCTTATGAATGTGTGCCTGATACCAAAATCTATCACAACAGACTCTGCAACAACCACAACCTTGCACAAAGGCCACCGCAACCTTATTTTTGAAAACAAAAACAAAGCAAAAACTAAAACCTTCTATAAGGACATCAGCCCAGCAACCGCCCATCCAACCTCTGGCTGAGGCCACCTTGTCATGATTCATGTAGTCGAGGCTGCTTATCTCAACACAATTATGTAATCCTCATTTTTTTCTTTAAAAACTTTTGTCTGCCTTTCCCTCCCTGAACCCAACCAGTGTATTCTCGTTGCAATGCTTAATCCCAAATAAGTATCACTTTCTTTGACAGAGCTTGGCTCTCTATTATTTGGGGTTTTGACAGTTGTGATAGAAATGAGAAATGTAGTCCAATACCCAGCTCCCTCCTGGATTAGACTGCCCAGCCCCCCTCAAAGATGGGCACAGACATACAAGCATGACTAAGTTTGGCCAGCAGAAGATGCATAAGGGTGAAATATGACAGAGAGATTCTATCATCAGGTCTGGACTT